TTCATCCCTGGTGTCTCTGATTTCAGATTCTCCTTCCTGATTCTCTAAGCCTCAGGATCCTCTAAGAAGGCTTCACAGTCACAGGGAGCCCTCAGAGCAGTGTGGGCACTCAAAGGCGGCCTCTCTGTGTTCTCAGAGAAAATACATATGCAAAGCCGAGGGGCCCATTTCCCACCTCAGATCATGAAGAGCTGGTGATCAGAAGATTCTGAACAAGGGAACATTGAATATATTCACACCCTGAGTAGTGAATTTATTAAAATCCAATTACTATTCCAGATGAGTTCCTCTTATTGAAAGGAACAGGTTCAGCGCTTAGTGTATTTTTGAGTATAGTTTCCAACTTGGAACATTGCATCATTATTTCAGAATTACCCTTCTGGGTAAAGTCAACATGTACGAACCTTCTTACCTAGATGGTTGTTGTAGCCCTTATCAGTATAGTAAGAAGCAGCACTCTGTTGTGGATTTGACCTCAGCTTGGGGATTATATAGAAACATTTTGAGTAAACACCGCAAAGCAGGGACCATAGTCACGCAAGAGCAAAGCAATAAACCAAAACTTTGCAATAAGGAAGCTATTTCTCCTTTACTAGGAGCATCTAAGGAAGAAATACCAGAAGTCCCAATACTGTTTTCTGTGAACAAGTAAGCAAGAAAAAATAAATAAACCAAAGAATCCAAACTCTGAAGCAACCAAGAGCAAGGACAGGGAAGTGATTCTAGTGGAAAAGCATGCAGAGATGGGTACAATTTTCTGATGTTTGATCATCTGGGTGATGAAGCACTGTGGATATTTAAGTTGTTTATTTTAAAAGAAAGTCCAGGTCCAAGTCTTCTGGGATCTTCTGACTCAACTTGTTAACCAGTAACAATACTTGCTGAGAAAAATCAATCTATTTCATTTAAAGAACCCCATCCCAAATATCCAAATTTAACTGCACAGAGAATTTTAAAGATCCATTCACTTACATCTCAACCAGCTCCTGTCTATAGAGCTCTTTTAATAACATATTATTGATTGATGATATAGATGACTGTATCTCTTGAAGCAAACCTAATAGAAAACATGATATCATAGGACTGTAAGAAGTTGATATTAGAAAGAATAGTAAGGAGATGATCTGTATATACTTCTATAACTCATGTTTAAATTATTTTACAATAAGAAGTTGGAATAATAGAAAATAAATAGACATCTAGAACCAAAAGAGATCTGGGTTTCTATAGATGCCAGGGCTCCGTATTTGGATCAAGGCCATGGAATGAGTTTAGTTGGGTCCCTGACTCATAGTACCTAGCCATTTTCACTCTTTTACATTAGTAATAGTACAGTTTATGGTTCTCTACTTGCTGACACAAGTCCAGGAGTCTCATTTAAAGTACACTGTTTCCTTGAGTCCAAAGACACAGTGGGATGCAGAGGCCAGAGGACATAGACTTCAAGTTCATTATCTTTGTTTCCATAGGCAGAGTCAGCACCAGTTAGCAGACTGGAGTAAAATGTGCTGCTATTCAATGAATGAAAATGCAAAACATACAGAGTATAAAAAAAATCTGTCTGTGAACCACAAATGGGA